AGAAGAAGACCAGTGGAGCGAGGAAGTCAGAGAGAGAGAGGTTTCTCTCCTTATAGACCTCGTGGAATAGAAATAATCACACATCCCTTAACATACTCCTATCCAAACACTGCTGAGATTAACACGAAGCTGTCATTTTGGTTTTCCAGTTACAGAAATAACCAACATGGTGGAAGCATGACAAAGAAATACTCAAAACATTTGTGGAAGGCTTGAGTGCCTGTGTTTTTTCTTTATTATGTGGTTTCTGAGCAAACCATGTTAGTCCCACAGAACTTACAGCTTAACGCCAATCTTATTATGTCACATCAGGGATTAAAACTACGCGTGAAAGGAAAGATGCACTGTAGAGGACACCCAGAACTGACTGTTCAGGGAGATTAAGTCCGTATACAAGGAAAGATGGTTTGCATATTATCCTAAACCTATTCAGTCTGTTTTGCATTATTCTAAAAGCTTTTTATGAAAAGTTCAGGCCTTCAATTCAAGTAGTTCACTCAGACTTTTTGACAAACAAAAGCAAAACAGGAGACAAACTGAACAGACCAAAGACAGTCAGAAATAAAGACACAGAAATTGAAACGCACAAAGAGACGCCGACATCGTCCCCACAACACCACCACCACCCCCACCAAGAAAAATCACCAGGCCCAGATGGCTCTTCCTGTTCCTGCAGAGCTAGCTGTTGGTTGGCTACGAGGACCACAGGGCGGGAGGATGTGACGAACGCTCGAGGAATGACATCACTGGCTGGCTCAGTGGAACTCTGGCAGCAGTAATATGACCCATGCTGCTACTTACAGCTTCAGCCAGTCCAGCACCAAGTCTGGACTGTGTACTTTTGTGTTTCCATATAGTGTGTTAACAGCGAGCGATAATACAGAGTAGCTGTTCTAAATGTGTTTGCATGTTTTTATGTCTGCGTGTGTGCTCACTACAGAATGGCTTTAGTGACCTTAAACATTAAGACTATTTCTATATATACATTTAGGTATAGGGTAACAGCACACTTGCATACATGGCCAGATAAAGGGCTGCTGTGCTAAATAAAATGTTCCAGCATTATGTAAGAGCATTACCGGACTGGGAGGACTGGGCGCCCAATCCCATGCAGCAGCTAGGCTAGGCTACTTACAGTCAAATCTGTCACAACAGCATTGATTTAGGCTGATTACTCCTGGGGCCAGGATAGTAACTCACAGCTGAATGCCTACCCAGTATTGGTATTCATTGCGAAAGGCAGCTCTGAATGTTGCTGTACAATGAGAAGTCCAATATCCATGTTCAGTGGCGCTGGGTCAGCAAATGGCCGGCCGCGATGTTGTATTGCAAAGTCAATATGGAGAGACACTTATGTTGACTTAAACTAGTTGATGAAATTAATATAGATTATACAACTGCAAAAACATGAATATCTATGGAGAGGAACAAAGCAACTGGACTATGAAATAAATGTCAGTAATACAAAAGCAGGATTTATCACTCTGTGTATGTTTCTGTTGTTTTCAGTTTCCATCTGTCATATGACAGAATGCATTTCATGAATCACAGAAATATGGTACTACCAACCAGGACCTGTTGTGTCATTGCTGGGAATCTTGAGAACAGAGGCTTAGTAGCTAAATAAGTCAATCTAGAAAGGGAAAGAAGATACAGATGGACTCCAACTGTGTGAGGAGAGTAAAACAGAAGAGAGCACCTGTTGTGGCAGTGTCCTGCTGTGGGGCTAAATCACTGCCGAGGAGGAGGCAGAGACAACAGAGGACTAGACAGGTGCTGTATGGGACAACGCTGCGTGTCGCTCTGTGTTATCTGGATCTCTCGTCAGTGAGAGTGTATACTCTGATCCACTGGCAAGTGTCTGGGACATCTCAGGGCAGCTGTAATCTGGCTGAACGCACGGCAGAAGGCAGGCAGTGGTGTAAGATGGGTGGATGGGGGGGGGAGGTGGACTTGTGTGTTCAACTCCTCCTTCAAGGACTAACAGCTCCAAACAGGAAGCTCTGCCATACAAACACATTAAATAACATAACCGAGAGCAGAAGCAGAGCACTGAGGCTGGCCAGCTGACCAAGTCTCTCCAACATGACACGCTCTGAGATCATCTTAGTATACACTGTTTGAAGCGTGTCTAAAAAGGGGAGAGAGAGAGAACTGTGGCGGAGGGTATGAAGGTGGAAGAACTCGGTCACCATTTTTAGGTCATTGCTCATGTGTTTCTCTATATGACATCGTGAACAAATAAAATAGATTTTATTTGTAATATGTCATCAGTGATCTGGTAGTGAAAAAGGACCACAGTTGAGCAAAAACGGCCTATTTTATGGTGTAAACAATTCCAAAGTGGTTTTAAGTCGTGCAATGCTCGCTACACGCGGAGGCAACACACAAAAACAAAATTATGCCTTTATGGACACAAATAAAACCCAGCTTAACCACACCTCAGCTCTAACAGTTTGAAACCTAATACAACACACCGCGTTTGCTCCTACCGGTGTAAACAGGTCCCGAGTTTTCCATAGCTGCTCTTTATGGGACCTGTAAAAGCTGTCAGTTGAGCCACATGGTTCAACGGTACAGCGCTTATTAGGGCCAACAGCAATCTGTTGCATACTCACTCTCTCCTCACACCCGCATGCACTCACACACACATGCTGTCCTGACTCATAGCTCAACTCACAGAAAAACAAAAGGGTCAGATGACTCTGGTTAGGCCCCTGAGCAGAACATAAGTGCTGCTTTTCTCCCTTTATAACAAAAGCATGGTTCATGAAATGCCCAAAAGAGATGCTGCATGAACTTGAAGGAAAACTCTCTTTATTGGGAGTTTAAATTCTTTGTTGTCATCAGCAGCCGAGGTCTTTGAAGATCCTGCGTCTTTCTCTAAATACCGATCCTGCCAAACTCGGGGTATTAGCCGACAAAAGAGTCGTGACTAATAACAATGCTCATTTTTGTTTTTCAGTTCCAAATATTTACACCTCACTGTACCGACCCAATTAGTGTACGTGTGGACAGTCATGCGCAACCATTGTCACACCTCTCTGTAATTTAAATGATTTTGTTCTAGAAGCTTTATGAAATCTTTTTTTTTTTTTTTGACAGAAATATCTAAGAAACTGTGCTTAATTTGGAAAAGTCACATTGTCTTGATGTGGGATCTGTTTAATTGGGTCAACAACATCAGCACAAATACTGATCTGATATGTTGAATTTGACCGTCACCCGTGCCAGCAGCTCCCTCCCGATGTGATAAAGGAGCTACAGGAGGTCAGATTTAACAGAGTACTGATGTTATCACCTCAGCACCACCCAAACCCTTTGCCTGACTTTTCACACCTACCTGATCGGGAGGTCAGCCTTGTGCGACTTGTCATGCACATGTCTAGACTTGTTCAGCTCTCCACTTAAAAGCTAACACAGCCAGGCTCCCCTTGGAACCTTTAGTCAAGCATCAGAGCAGTGAACCTGCCTGCTCTCTGCTCAACTCGACCTTGCTGTGGTCCAGGCTACTGAGTAAACAGCTCCTCTCACCACTGCAGTCCCTTTCTCTGAGAGCAGGGAGCAGAAAGAGGCAGAAGAAAGAAGGCATCTGGCCTATAAGCAATCTGGTATCTCCACCACAGGAATGGTACAGTATGTTCCAAATAACAATAGCACCACAGTGTCTGCCAATCAAACTGGGAGCTACTGCTGTGGGGTAGCTTCTACTGCCACAAGCTTTCATAATTAGAACATAACAGTGAGCGAGCCAACCTGACATAGTAATAATCCATGAAGGGTGAAGAGCGGACGCACTGTAGTAATATGTCTCTGGCCAACAGTTGTCAATCTTTTGGCTCTTACAAGTCAGGAATACATACACTAATTATTTGTAAATCAATAGAAACAGCAGTGTGGTTTGTTGCTGTTCACAGTTGACCCAGCATGCTGTGCTGCATTATTAGACTATAATTACACTGTACTGTGTCAGTCAGTGTGCCCTTTACTCCGGCCTGTCACATCCCACAGATGTCTGGGTCAGTGCTTCTATATAAAGGGTCCTACTGGCAAGAAAAGACAAGGCAAGGCTAGGGTTAAAAGGCTATGCCCATGTAGGGCACATGTTTACTGTGTGTTGTGGAGTCCCATTATCAGCACATTGTGCTCAAGGAAGAGCCCACTCAGGCCAGTCAGCAACCTGACCGCCGTTTCATAACATATGCAAACACACAGACTATCCTTGATTGACTCGAGCTAATCTCATCACGACTGAAAACAGAGGTCCTTCACTGCTTCCAAGTATGGTGCTGTTTTGCTGTTGACAATGAACCAAGTGACCAAAACCCTGGATCACAAACAACCATGCACACTTAATCACTAAGTGAATCATTTAGCTTACACAATAAAGGAGCTTACACGAAAACTGCTGGCAATCGTGTCAGGGCAGATATTTAGGTACTGAGAGACCCTTCACAAATTAATGCAATAGTAAAATTTGCATAATCACACTGAAACAAACAAGGATCTCCCCTCTGTCCCTGTTTTACCTCTTGCTGCAGATAAAGCAAGCTGTAAACAGGTTGCAGAGCATACGGCAGGAGCCTTATTTCCACAACAGGGTGGGTGTCAAGAACATTTTGCAGCAGCCCTGTGCAGGAGACTGTCAAAACAAGAGCTACTGGAAAAGGGAACAGTATGAGGCATGCATCAGAGCAGCTTGCAGGCTAAATGTTGATGCAAAAATGAGGAAAAGAAAGAGCCGACATTTGTGTTGACCACTCCAAACTAGAGCAGCAAATGTGTGTTGTATATACATGTCCTCATTTACTCGGGTCAGGCTTTGTTAATTCATATAACCAGTGACCAGCTGTTACATAATTCTCTGGCCTGATTCTTTTCTCGGGGGAATGGGTACAGTCAGTCCACCAAAGCCGGAAATGCACAGCTTGCTTGCTTGCCCACACACTGACCAAGTCCACCCCAGAGATGTGTCTGTGTGTTCCTGGTGGCCCACATACCTCGCTCGGGCTTCATGTTGTCCAGTGTCATCAGGTTGCCTTCAGGGTCTCCTGCAGGATCTTCTCAGTCTTCTCCTTTTTCTATCACACACTGCCTCAACAGTAACACAACGGTGTCTGGATCCCCCAAACCCTCTGTGACTGATAGCTGCTGTATTAGCTAAGCAATAATATCAGCTGTGAAGCCTGTGTGTTGGTGCCAGCTGCCCCCTATCCAACAACAAAGCATTGCTTTGTTAGCATGCTACTGTACGCTTCCATCGAGTCGCACTGTATTGTCCCACTGACTAACACAAAGACAGCTGATAGCGAATGCCAGTTACAGTTAGGTAACCGAGTTGTCAATCTGTTTGCTAACCAGCAACCAATCTGATCACTAGTAATTTAACTAGCAGGCTGGCTACTCTTACAGCTCGTCTCAAATTCCACCACCTGAACCATAGTTAAGTCGCGATGCATGTCGGTGTCTCGGCTCTTGTAACTGCTGGCTCCTCACAACGATGCTGCCAGAACGAGGGGGGGATGCTAACTCAGCAGGGGCTAAGCTAGATAGCAAACTCAACCAACTACCTACTGTGTGGTTAAGCGTCTGCTGGTGACGACGACCTCCCGAAACATCCCAACCCCCAATGCAGCGCAGGTAGCCACGGCTCAGCTACAAACACCGATGACGGGCGGTCTCGGTATTTTCTGCTACGCCGAGAACATTTTCAACGAATCATTCTTCTCGGGAAAAAAAAATAATAACCGAGAATATCAGACAGCCCACTTTCTATCCATCCGCACGGCTCGAACCGTCGCCATCTACCTGGCGTCAGAAACGCCACCTGTGCTGACTTCCTTTGTGATCTTCATTAAAACTTTTCAAACCGACAACAAATAGCCACGACTCCGACCCGACGCTTCGGTAACGACGGCAACGTTTTCCGCGACCGTAAACCGAGCAGCAGTTGCTATCTTACCGCCGCCGAGCCAGCTGACTGCTAAAAAACTAGAGGACTGGGTCGATACTAATGTTATTCAGGCGAAAATGCAGATGAAAGGAACAGTGAGTCCTCCTAGTCGTGATGCTTACAGTCTGCCTCCCTCCTCACTGCTTGTCAAAACAGATCAGTGCAGCTCCAGTCACGTGTCCCAACAACAGCTCCACTCGTCACTTCCCTCTCGGCCAGCCTTGCATGAACTCGCAGCCATAGCAACCGCCAACTTAGAAGTGCTACGGAAACTTCTGAGGAAGACGCGTCGTGTCCGGCAAAAAAAAGCAACAACAAAGATTTAAGCACGACTTTAATTTAGTCCGTAACACTTTTGTGACATTACGGACGACAGACGTATGAGTGGAGAAAGACGAACAACAGAGGGGGAACTCTCTGCGCACTGATTGGTCAGTGGGTTCGGTGCGCGTTCACGTCCGCACGTGAGGGTTAAGTTTTTCTCTGTCGTGAACATTTTGTTCTGACGTGTTTGGAGCCAAAGATCGCGTGTCGGGTGAACCAGGGTAATACGCCCCCCACAGGAACAATGTCTCCTGTCTATTTCAGTATTTATGTAAATACATTGTGTACGCACTGATTACGGAACCGAGCCAAATAAATCTCAGCGGAGTGTAGATTTGTTATTATAAAACTACAGGCAAAATCTTAAAAAAGGGGCACCTTCCCCTTGAGTTAGCTTCACCTGAAAAATTAAAGTGAGATAACATAGAGTTAATATTTAAAGCTATTTGAACATTACCAATTAATTTAGAACTCATGTCGGGAAAAAAAGTAAAAACTGTAGTTTAATATCAGTTAAAATCCTGGTGCAAAAATAATCACAGGGACGCTAAGCTGATAGTAGCTGTTGCGTTTCCAGCGTCGGCATCCATATTGAGAAAGGATTACACATAATACAAGTCCGTGTTCACCGTATTTAATTCTTTTATAGCACCAGGAGAGAACATCAGTAGCTATGACGTTAGCTTCCCGCTGGAAAAAATAAAATACGCGGTGTTAAAGTGCAGTATAGTCAACAACAATCACGACATTTTACGACAGTCATGTAGGTATTTACGTCACAGGAAATAAGACGTATAACTTACAATGCTAATACATACAAACAAATGCACCGTATATATTGAATATGGGAGTGCATTAATTTCATGTAGAGTAACTCAGAAATAATTAAACATTGTAAATGAGAGAGTAAAGCTCAACAGTAGCAAACTATTCAAGCTAGCTTGTGCTGCAGCAACATAATAGTGCACATTGTTATTAGCTTAACCCACAGTTAGCTAGTTAGACTTTTAGACAGATAATGATATATTTTGCTAACTGTTGTTAGCGTTTATGTTATTGTATTATCTAAAAGTGCAAACAATATATTGCAAATCAATTATTAGCAGGGCTAGCTTATTGAAAACTAGCAATGTCCATGAGGGATTTTCTTCCCTCAAAAGTTAGTCTTTCACGTTCGCATATTACAGACATTGTGTTTGTAAGATTTTGTTCAAAATAATGAATAATGCCCGCACATGACTCAGGTTAACTGTAGAAAACAGTTTGTATATGAATATTCCTATGAAACAGCACAGATACTTAGCCCACCCCAGCTTACCCCTGTATTTTTTATTATGAACATCTTTGGTACACAAGAAGACTGCTTCATTAAACACATTTAGAGGAAATTTAAGTCATAGGGAACTCCAAATTTATCATGATAAAACTAACTATAAAATCTTGAAAAGTGGGAAATCTTTCAAGTGATTTTCCACGACCCGACTCCGGATAAGCGGGAGAAGATGGATGGATTTTTATGGGTACAGTTAGTTAAGAATATAATTAACCTTACGTTTAAATTTAATGTTGTCCTGACTTTAGCTGCTAAATAGATGTTAGATAATGCGTTTCCTAATTATTTTTGATTAATACAAAACCCCAGTCCACTCCAGCTAATTGGCCTTTTAGACATATAAAAATAGATACATTTTTTAACTGCTGGTGAACTATAATTATCTGCCTTCCATGATGATGTATGTAAATCATCAGATATGTAGGTCTGAGGATTGAAAATCATTGATTTCCATTAGGGGCATCTACTTTCAAAGATCCTCCTCTGACACTTTAACATAAAAAAAATAATAGTTTTTTTTTTGTTCAAGCCAATGTATAACCTTCCACATGACTCTCACTGTACTCTTTGTAAATGCATATTCCTATAAAACACAGAGCCTTATTTTGTACTGATAGTATGATTATACATCAAAACACCTTCAGGCCACTATCATCAAAGAAAATACCTGAAATGAAAGCTGACTAGATCTAGTGAATGGGAGAGGATTTATGTGAGGTACCACCTTACCTCAATTTACCCTATATAATTAGGGTAATGCTGTTATTTGTTCTAAAGTCCAAACTCGCTGGCAGACCTCCACAGAAATCCACTAAGGATTTCCTGGTACACACACCACACAAGGATTCTTACAGAGAATTTGTTGTGTGATTTCTAATATAAAATAAAATCATGCAGAAAAAAAACAGCCTGATTTGCTTCTCTCCTCAACAAAAGAAGACTTCAGTAGGTCAATACCTTGTAATAATAATGGACTATTCTTAAACAGAAAAATCTGTATGTTATAAGTTACAAGGTCAAAAATTCAAACAACAATAGACCCATGCTGACTCAGCCAAGAATATTGGAAACATGACAATGAAAACCTTTAACATCCACTAACTGTCACCAGTTGCCAGCCATTTTAATTTAGAGTGCCACATAAAAAAAAAGCAGCAACAACAAACACATAGGGTCAGGTTTAGTTAGCAGTGATGTTTTACATGTGAGCATGTCTGTCTAAGTATGAAAACACAATGAGAACTGCTTACCCATCAGTGCAGGATGTGGTGTGTTGTCAATCTGGTGCAAACAGAAGAGCACTGAGGAAAAGCTCTTTGATTTAATCTCTCCCCTGATGAAACCTCTTGGAACAAAGGCAAAGGCCACAGTGAGGACACTGGTGTGTGCTTCACAAATCTGTCTGACAGCTGCATTTGCACTTTGAGTGTTACTATTGTAAGCTGCACATAGATTCAACAGACTGGGTTTTAGTTTAGTTAGAAGTTACTAGTAAGATATTTGGGATAAACTCCTGTAGAATTTCAAAAGGTTGTAGCTTATTATTGTAAGAGGAGGCAAACATCAAGAGAATAATTAATGCTTATCAAACTATTTGTCTATTGATTAGAAATTGAGTTGTGCTTTGTCCCTGATACCAGCCACCACTGCCAACGAATGTGGGTCATAAAGTCCACAACAATGCAAACACCAGTTGATTAAGAGCTTTTATCTGACAGAGGAGCAAAGTTTACACACGTGTAAGGGCAAAGCTGTTGTTCATAGTAGGTCAAATACTGCACCCATCACTAAACCAGCTCTGTCTGCCTCTGTACCAATAAATTACAATCACAAGTCTCTCTCAGTGGGTCATGGGTTACAAAAACGATGTATAAAAACTAACAGGACATACATGTAGGCTACATATATAACAGGAAATATAATTAATAAAGGTTAAAGGGAAAATCTTCTGTTACTGAAGCTGCAAATTTCATTTAAAATTCACCATCTGCTTGGTGTGTAGCTCCTCTGAGTTGCACTGCTGTTCTAATATACTTCTCTGTTGGTTTCTGCAACCAGCCAATCACAGTCACAGTTAACCTTGAGACGAAGGGATGTTTTAATTGCAACAATCAAACGAAACTCAGCTGACACATTACGCACAGCAGTTTGCAATACGCCACAAATTCCTGCAACACACTTGAAACTGCAGTTAGTGGGATGATGTAATTGAGAAAAAAAAAATCCTAGAGCTAATAGTAGCAACTTCTCCAGAGCCATGAGGATACCCCTGCTGAGTTTAAAGTGTTACGGGGGGCATTTCCAAAATCCCGCATTCATATAAAGCTCATTCAGATTTAATGTTGGAGCCCATGTCAGTGATTCAGTGTTAATGAATTAATTCAGTGCCTGATGCTCTGAGTTCCAGTATAAAGAGACAATTGTCTTTGTTGCTAATCAGAGATTATCGAAATGAACAGTGGGTGTAAATAATTTTTTAAATTCGATTCTTTTAAAGACCGTTATTACCGCATAGAATGGTGTTTGTGAAAATGCATGTCACAGCACCATCTAGTGACAGGATACAACTAATGCAGCAGCTGAAAAGAAAACATCTATCTATCTGTCTATCTATCTATCTATCTATCCATCTATCTATCTAGTTTTAGAGTTACAGTTAAATTATATCATGGTTTTGTTGGCAAAAGCAGAATATTTTTTCCACAGTCGTTTGTCCCATAACCAAGCTGGGGTTAGACAATATGTAACAACCGATGGTCTACTAATGGGTGGGTTTTTAGGGTTTTAGGACCAAAAACAGAGGAAATAATGGAAAAAATCTATTTACTTCACTTTACTGTTGTGTTGCTGAGTTTAATCAATTCAGTTACTGATGGGCTGAAGTGTTAATGTCTCTGCTTGGCGTGATTAATGTGTACTTCTCTGCCACTGAAGGAAAAATAAAACAAGGCTTAAAATGATCCAAATACTGTTGCTGATGATGTGATTATTTAATAGCCTACATTACCTTGTTTTTTTCTGCACTTTAGCACTCAAATCTGGCTCACTATTTGCAGCAACACTGGAGATTCTAAGGAAATGAATTTGTGGTTCTAGTGCGTTTGGTGCTATCCATATTTTATCTGTTGGTACATACATTCATTACACTGTGGATGGGAAAAGCTGACCCTTAATTGCAGTATATAAACAAATGGAGCGGAGAGTTAGTTCATGCAAAGTAGCAGCACCTTTTTGTGGGATTCTGATTCTTTTCAATACTTTACCAATTTATTATACAAATTAAATGAGATTTTCAAACCACTTTGTTTTTTTTTAAAAGTTAAGAAAATATAATGTAATTGATTATTATTTGAAACGACATATAAAGATGATAATTCAAGATTTTTTTTAAGAACATACTTTTGTGTATTCTAAGAGGAGGTGCATGCTGTTCTAATGAACCCTCTGACCCTGAACAGCATTTACTAAAACAATACA